CACGTGTCCAGACAGTGTAAGTGGCGTTTGGGTTCTCTGCAGCGAGCGACACTTGCCGCACGGCCAGGCTCGCATGAACACGCGACGCCACAGCAGTCGCGAAGCTTCTGTATCGCGCAGGGAGGGAACTCTGGGAAATTATCGAGATAGCGGCTTCTGAGCAAGGAAACAGCGGTAAGCGGAGACATTTGAAGATGTTGAGGTTCGACTGCGGTTTTTGAACAAGGGCAAAAGCGGTGAGCGGAGCGTTGTACATTTGAATTGCGCATTGCACATTGCACGTTGAGGTTCGATTGCGGTTTTTGAACAAGGGCAAAAGCGTTGAGCGGAGCGTTGCACATTTGAAGATAATGAGGTTCGATTGCGGTTATTGAACAAGGACAAAAGTGGTAAGTGGAGCATTGCACATTTGAAGATGATTAGGTTCGATTGCGGTTATTGAACAAGGACAAAAGCGGTAAGCGAGCGTTGCACATTTGAAGATATTGAGGTTCGATTGCGGTTTCTGAACAGGGACAAAAGCGATGAGCGGTGCGTTGACCTTCTGGCGATATTGAGGCAAGCGTCGGATGTGAGGACAAAAGCTCACTTGTAACTATTGTTTTTTTTTCGAAATGCAAAGCACTGCTCTGAATCGAACAATTTAATTATTGAGTAATGTTGCCTTCAATGCAAGCTGCTGGAGGGGCATCGGCTTGCAGCACTGAAAAAGCCGAGATACGCTATATGTAACAAAATGATTGATCATTACCACGCGCAACGAACGCCGCATAGATATTGCCTGGCTTAGGTGTCGCACTTTTCATTGTAAATCGCTCCCACGGGCTTGAGGATGGCGTCGAAATTGGCAATTAATCACGATAGAATTGACACCTGGGTGATTGGATCGAAGTCGAGCGGACCTAACCGAACGACCTCCGAAGGTCCATGTTCTGGGCCCCGGGGCTGTTCTGTCGGCGTCGTTCTGTTCGCTTATGCCCTCTCAAGAGTTGCACGTGGCGCGCGTCGCCGACATAAAACTGCCGACCACAGCGCTTGGGCCAAGACTCTTAGCTCAAGATGAATGTGGGGTCCATGTGGCAGTGGTGTTGATACAGCAGCATGTGCAATATATATGCAAATTTGTAGGCATTGCCATCGACATAGACACGTACAAACTCCGATGACTTTGGCTTTTGGCGAGGAGGGAGGGCGGGGGGGGGGGGCTCTGATTGATGGGTCATCGATTGCTCAGGCTTTATGCCGCTAACGCAACTTAGTTTTTAGCCTAGATTGCGGCATGAAAGCTCTACATCAACGATCGTATGTTTATTTTCTAGTAAGAGCCGTTTGAATGTAGCCGCACATTCGCCCCTTACCTGAACGGCGGGAGGCTTCTGCCTCGTTTGGTCAAATTTCCTTTGCATTTCCCCTGATAGCGCTTTGTTTCCTACCACGCTTTCGCTTATTTCTGTCCAGAACGGCAATAGCTCCTGACACATTTCTCCATTCGGCGACCTTGGCTGTACACCTGATTCGGTCTCCCCTCGACCATACACACCTGTCGCTTACCGGCGTGTTAGAGGCACGCAAGATCCCCCCCCCCCCCCCCCCCCCCCCACTGCTGTCCCAGCGGACGTGGTTTGTGCGTAGTGGGTTCTGCGAGGACGTGCGTTTGACATGCTCGTGATTGGAAGCCGCATGAGGTATTCTCGCCGTCAGCTCATGCCGAACACTGCGATGCATTGCTGTCATTCGCAGAGAAGTGGCTGTTGTGTAATACTAGCGCAGGCTGAGGTTGCTGTGCAATTCATCCGGCGTTATGGGATACTTTACATACTTTACTTACTTGACACAGCCCATTGCTACATGCATCAACTTTCATGCTTGCAGCCCTGGACATGCAGTCTCGCTAACGAGTTTCCAGTTAAATGCGGCGCAACTTGGCCTTTAAACGTACCATCTTTACTTATGCAAATTTATCGTGACGCTGTTCTCGCGATGCGTGACTAGGGACAGTACTGACAGACACGCTTGTCGGGTTCGGGTTACACGCCAGGACTACCAGAATGCCAGAACATAGCATGATACCACTTGACTTGCCATGCTATGTCGAAGGCCTTCCTGTCCCATGTGGAGCATCGGTTAACATAAGTAGTTGGTCATAGCGTGTTGAATCTGCAGGCAATACACCACTTTATACGATGGCGCACCTATTGGTTGCCTTGATAGCGGTAGTTAGCCAATTGCTCAGACGTATGAGTCCACCGACCCACGGGATCCATGATATCCCCCCACGCCGTGGACGCATATTTGCTGTGCCTGCCGCAGATGTTGGTACAACACAAACACAATGGACTTTTAGTCATCAATACAGCTCATTGCATCGCTCGGAAAAGATTGCTGGCAATAGATAGCTTATTTTATGGTGAAGAAACTAGCGAAACATTGATGGCTGCGTGATGGACTGTGACGGCCCAACTTGAGTCATATCTCGTACTACTTTGGCAACGCATGCTTTTGGTGTCGTTATGACGTCACAAGACCAAACGCTGTAGGTGGGAAAGAGCAAAACATTACTGGCAGCGTCACTCACCATCAAAGCTTGTGCTACGTGGGCGCTAAACATAACTCAGTCACATGCGTGTTCGTTCCCAAACTCATACAAAGGCTGGGAAAAGCAAAGAATGTCTTGTTTGGAGTGCCCTGCACCATTACCGTTCCTGCATGCCGACCGGCCAAATAAAAGCGCCTATACTTTTACTGGTCTCGATGCTACTATGTCATTCTACTTGTCACTGTTTCGGGCTACACCTGGCCAAGGTCACGCTGGAGGAGATAATTGAGCCGACAGTTGTTTGAAGTTCCCAGTGCACCCAATACTGCACTTTGGTGCCAAGGGCAGCTGAGACAGATGGCAGGATTACACTCACAACATGGATTACACTGGCGTCGTCGAATTACACCCGTCCTTGTTTACTGTCAGGGCCGGGAACGAGAATGGAGTGTTGACACACTTGGTGCTGATGACATAAAACAAAGCAGAAGAGTGTGAAATTCTCCCGACAGGCGGTGCTGTTAAAGCAGCCTCATGCGATGCAGCTATCTGCTAAGCTGCCGCGACAAAGCAAAACATGAACATGCATTGTGGAGTAGGTGATGCCTGAGGCTTAATCATTATCTGCTCTATGTATTCAATACATAGAGCAGAGAGAGAGAGAGAGAGAGAGAGAAGATGAAGAGAGAGAGAGAGAGAGTAGAGAGGAGAGAGAGAGAGAGAGGAGAGATAGAGAGAGAGAGATGAGAGAGAGAGAGAGGAGGAGAGAGAGAGAGAGAGAGAGGAGAGAGAGAGAGAAGAGAGGAGGAGAGAGAGAGGAGAGAGAGAAGAGGAGAGAGAGAGAGGAGAGGCGGAGAAGAGAGAGGAGGAGAGGAGAGAGAGAGAGAGGGAGGGAGAGAGAGAGAGGAGAGGGAGAGAGAGAGAGGAGAGGAGAGAGAGGAGAGAGAGAGAGAGAGAGAGAGAGAGAGAGAGAGAGAGAGAGCCTTTTGCGTTCGTTTATCGCGGAATGGCCGTGGTGCGCCTTTTGTGGTCACAGCATCAAATGGTCGAGGAGAGCTGCCCCTAAATCAAACGCATGGGATTCATCTCCAGCACCAAGGTAAAGAGAGGCGTTTGTTGATTCCATCGCCACGTCTGACCTCATCTCCTTCCACAGCTTCGGCCACAGCGTCTCCGCATGCACGCCGAAATGTCGATGAACACGGACGTGCGGACGGACGCCCAGGTGTTCCTGGCCACCATGCTGAAGCGACTGAACCTGACGCTGAGCGACTGGGAGGCGTTCAACAACCAGTCTGGCGACTTCGACGACCTGGGCGACACCACGGCCGCCCGCAGCGAGGACATCTGCGGGGAGGGAGTGCGCTGGCTGCGCGACTCCTACCGCCCGCTGCACGGCTACCTCGCCCTCGTCGTCTGCGTCTTTGGCTTCGTCGCCAACGTGCTGAACATCGCCGTGCTGACGCGGAAGGACATGGTGTCGCCGACGAACACCATCCTGACCGGTCTGGCCGTGGCTGACATGGCCGTGATGCTCGAGTACATCCCGTTTGCCTTCCAGCACTACATCAACGCCTCCGCCAACCTCTTCTCCTACTGGGCCGCCATGTACGTGCTTTTCCACGCGCACTTCGCGCAGGTCTTCCACACCGTGTCCATCTTCATGACGGTGATGCTAGCCATGTGGCGGTACGTCTCGATCGTGCGGCCGAGCGTGGCGGTGCACTGCTGCACGATGCGTCACACCATCTTCTTCATCGTCGGTATTTACGTACTCTCACCCATCATCTGCATTCCATCTTTCTTCACCTTCGCCGTGCACAGTCGGCCGGCGGGCGGGGGCACTATCCTCTACAGCATCGACATCAGCGAGGTCGGTCGCCGGTATCACGGCCTGCTGAACCGCGCCAACTTTTGGCTGTACTCGGTGCTCATCAAGCTGGCGCCCTGCCTGGCGCTGACGTTCTTCTCAGTGCGGTTGATCCGCGTCCTGCTGGAGACGAAGCAGCGGAAGCAGCGGCTCATGGCCGGCCGTCCGAACCCTGCAACTGACAGCCATCTGGCACAGGGAGTCCGGCAGACGGACCGCACCACCTGGATGCTGGTGGCCGTGCTGCTGCTCTTCCTGCTGACGGAGTTTCCACAGGGTATCCTGGCGCTACTCTCGGGTATCCTGCAGGACCGCTTCTTCCGCACCTGCTACCTCCACGTCGGCGAGCTGCTCGACATCCTGGCGCTCACCAACTCAGCCGTCAACTTCTTGCTCTACTGCCTGATGAGCAAGCAGTTCCGCGTGGCGTTCCGATCGTTACATGGGATGTCGGCCAGGCCGTGTGTCGAGCAGCGGCCGCTAAGCAACGCCAAGTTCTACGCCATCCCCAAGGCCTGCGTCATCACCAACACCACGCTAGTGTGATCGTCTTTGGGTGTAGAGCCGGAGACTGCGTTGTGACGCACCCCGCCGCGAATGGTATTTTGATCCAGAACAGAATGAGGTGCAGTGGTGCGTAAACCACATATGGGTGCGTTGACTTGGCTCTCAGCAACGCTGCTCAAGCGTATATTTTTCTGTGAATTCGAGAGCTTGGGATAATCTCGTCAGGTGATGTCTTTCCATGGAATTCATCATCCTGTCGCTTATGTACTCGGACCTTAGCGCTCATCAGAGTGCCTGTAAGGTGTTATCGCGACTCTTGTGAGCTTACATGTGTTTGTAGGGTTAATGAACAGGTGGTATAACCAAGATGCGTCGACGCATTTTTAAAGAATCTTTGAATGGGCAGTAGTAATGAATGCATGCGTATGCGCGTATGAATTTGGTGAAATGGTGATGCTACCAAGGTGCGTCACGGTTTAAGCGTCTCCAATGGTAGTGACACTGGATGAAATGTTTCAAAGGATGTCTATTGTCTCAATTTCTTGTCCAAGACCTGTACGTGGTCTTGTACCAACGGTGCATGGGCTTGCCCCTGTACCATGCCAACATGTACGCTATGAAAGAACTGATGACGAGCTCGGGCAGTGCTTGCACGGCTCAAGGTTCAACTCATGTGCTCACCAAAACTGTATTGTGTGACTGTAAACACACTTTGAATACAGCACATCTATCAAGATGGTTGTCTATGCACCACCCCAGCAAAATTGATTTTGATGGGCATATCTGACAGGAAATCCAGTACGATACTGTTGGGCTACGGTACATGTACTTGCAACACACACATTTTCTGCCTACATCAATCAATTCAATGCAAGACTGAGTGTAATGAGAACATACGCCGGTAGGCGGCGCCACGCGCATCTATTTTGCCTAGATTGGTCCATTCAATGCGAGACTGAGTGTAGCGAGAGCATATGCCGACAGGCGGCGTCAGGGCGCTTTCCATTTGCGATGCCACTGACCCAGACTCATCTCCGTAAGCTGAGGGATAACGTGGAAATAAGGGACAAGGAGAACAAATGTCTCCCCATATATGATGAGAGATTTTCCTGTCCAAATTCCCGCATCAAAGATACGGCACAGGACCGTGGAGCCCAATGAGTCCTCTCTCGTACTGGCACACGAAGAAGCAGCAATAGTGCCAATTTTTCACAAGTTATCTTCCATACGCAAAGAAAAACACATACTTACATAACGCAATTGTGAACATGAACATAACCTGATGGGGCAGAACATACGATGAATGGACACCGGAACAACATTGTCTCTCAATGCATTGGCGCGCTTGATTTTTCAGATCCCGGTACTCAGCTGGCGCGAGACCAAACGCACGCGGGCTCTACACCTGCAGCCACTGGGCCTTGTAGACACGTGTAGATGATAGTGGTCGTATACTGACGCCCCATGCTAAGCAGAAGCTTTGGGGAACCTATTACAACGCATCAACCACTTCCGATCAGCACGAGAAGGAAGTAGCGTTTCATACTTATATGGGATTTTGAACTGACATGGCCAGTTTGAAGACCACTTGGTACAGTTGACAGCCCTGCCATTCTTAAGACTTTAAACCCTCTAGTTTCAGGGCTACACACCTGCGAATGTGTGCAGAATATTTCGTACAGACTATTTCAAGGTCATTCAGCCATGCATGGCACCGTAAGAACGTCATCCGAATATTGCTATCTCATAGGCCATGCGACCTTTAAGGCCAGTACAAATATTATCGTTGAGCCGCTCAGGCCAATCGTCCGTGAGGAGGGACAAAAAATGTTCGAATTTACCGGATATGGTCAGTGACAGAAATCGATGTTTTTGCAAACTCTTTGGTGGTAAAATGGTGAAATTGAAACAATTTGCAGCAGACCGCCGTGGGATGACACTCTAAGCTTAATGCATGTGTGTACTCACACATGCTTGCAGCGTGAGCCTGTAAAGAACATGTGTCGAAATGTGAAAAAACACATGCGCGATCAGTCAGCTTCGTCGCGTTTTAAATCATCGAGCCATTTGAAACAGGTGGTTTCGAGCGCTAGGCACGAGCAACGCCCTTGGGTCACAAGGTTGTGAACTGTGCTGACTGCAGAACCGAGTGTCCGGGCGTGTAATTTACTGCTGGTCGTTGTACCGCTTTGGTTGTGCTCATGTCGTGAGAGGCTCACTGGTTGTAAGGACATAATTAGTCGTCAGCCTCTGTAAGGCGCTGTATAGTTCTTGTGAGGATTTAACACGGAGAGCGACATTGGCAGAAGCGTGACAAAACCCTGCCAATCTAGGAAGCTGGTCATATGAGAATACCCGAACTGCAGCTTCAAATGGCAACAGACATCCGCGACTTCAGCTGCTGACAGAAACATCGGCTTTGGGATGGTAGGCCGCTGGTTTAGCTGGCGCAGGAGTGCTACAGGTATGAGCCCAAATGCATGATCTTGTTTTAGTTTGTGTGAGGTGTCTCACGGGTAACTGAAGAGCCATGACTTTAGGTAGATGTAGGGCTACAGGGATGCAGCTTTGCAAAGCACATGGGAGGTGGGAGAGGGAGGAGGCTCGCGATGAAAAATGACTGAAGTTACCTCCTATCTAGCCCGTGGTAGTCTTTTCCTGAGATTTAACCCTCTTTCTTTTCGGAGTCGAGAATTCCCTGTAGGGGACCGCACCCCTGTGGAGCTAGTTAAGTTGAATATGCCATTTTCAGATCAAGTGTCTTACTAGTTGTGATATTTCTGTGTTATTGTTAGTGTATACTTAACTGGTATTGATGTATTATCATGTGTGGTACTATATTGTTTATTTCACCCTTAGTTCTATTTTCTGATAAGTCATTATTTAAGGTCATCCACTTAAATGGCTGTTCTGAAAAAATACAAGCTGACAGTGATGAATTTCAAAAACGCTTGAGCCATGGGCACCTGTCAGGACGTTTGTCTTCTTGCAGCCTGTCCCTGCATAGGCGCACTCACATACACACACATTATGTGTTTTTATGCAGGCAGCTGGCTAACAGACTGCCGAATTTCAAGCCCAAATTCTACCCCTCTGCATGTCACATGGTTAGTAAATGTCGATATATATATATATACATATATATATATATATATATATACAGTTATATATAAATAAAGTACAAAACTGGAGTACAAGATGTCTTTCACTATCGGATGTAATCACGATTGTCCAAAGGGAGTGTGTCACATTCACATGAAATTTAGAACTGAGACAGCCATCTTCAAGACATTTTGATGCTGCTCACAATCCTGGCCTTCTTAAGACCCAAGTCCCTCTAGTTTCTGAGCTACACGTTCGTAAAAATGTGGAAAGGTACATCGGGGAGTATTTTGAGGCTACCTTGGCATTTATGACGTCCTAATAACGTCATTCAAATCCTACCATTCCGTAAGCTACGTGGCGATCAAGGCCGAAGCATATAATTATCTTGGCTCCCATATCTGGCGTTCGTGAGCACGATTTCCGGATAAAACGGTTGCCAATTGGCTCTCAGTCAATGTTCTGCGACGTACGATGTCGTACTCAAACCATGACACATTGAGGAGCATATTTACTAAGCAGGTAAGTATGCCATCTAGATCATTGTTTTCCGCTTAAAAAGAATACCAATAGTTAGAATTGAGCTTGCTCCATGATACGTATTGCATCCTTAAATATCTTTAAATGTAGGACATTCCCTTTAAGATGACCATGAGTACCCTCTGGGAGCCGTGTAGGGTCTGCCATAGCGTCTTACCTACGGCCTTTCATTGAACACTCAGTAAATTGTGGTGCTCGATCTCTTAAAAACTAGTTTCAACTAGTTTCAAGTTCCCTTCAAGTAGTTCCTTGGTAGCAAGATTATTGTTAACCATCATGGCCTTTAAGTTGATGTCAGGTTTTGAACATTGAGCTGTGTGCTGGTGAGGCTTCATGTGTTTGCATGCGATATAATTTCACCAAATCATCTGCTAGATTTCTTTAATCCATCCCTTTACCTATTGATGCCAGTGTAATGCCATTAAACCTACACTTATGCAATTAACTGCATGATGACCACGCCAAACATGATATTTGGTCATGGCTCAATGATTTAACCCTTGCCATGATTCGCCGCTTCGCCGGGTTTTGCAGACCAGCTCCGGCGCTCTCAAGTCCGGCGCTGTCCAGCCAGGCACTCAGCAGCCTAGCGCTCTCCAGCCCACCTCCGGCGCTCTCCAGTCTGGCGGCCTCCATCCTGACGCTCTCCAGCCCACCTATGGCGCTCTCCGGTCTGGTGGCCTCCATCCCGGCGCTCTCCAACCCAGCTCCGGCGCTCTCCAACCCAGCTCCGGCGCTCTCCAGTCTGGCGGCCTCCATCCCGGCGCTCCCCAACCCAGTTCCGGCGCTCTCCAGCCCACCTCCGGCGCTCTCCAGTCTGGCGGTCTCCATTCCGGCGCTCTCCAACCCAGTTCCGGCGCTCTCCAGCCCACCTCCGGCGCTCTCCAGTCTGGCGGTCTCCATCCCGGCGCTCCCCAACCCAGCTCCGGCGCTCTTCAGTCTGGCGGTCTCCATTCCGGCGCTCTCCAACCCAGTTCCGGCGCTCTCCAGCCCACCTCCGGCGCTCTCCAGTCTGGCGGTCTCCATTCCGGCGCTCTCCAGCCCGGCTCCGGCGCTCTCCAGTCCAGCTCTGGCGCGCTTCAGTGTGGCTGTCTCCAGTCTAGCGAAAGTGCTGTTTTTGTGGAGAACAACGTCTAGTTTCGACGTCTTCCCGTTATCAATAGCAAGTCACACAAATATATATATATATATATATATATATATATATATATATATCTATATATATATATATATATATATATATATAATCGATGATTTGCTTGCAATATTGACTAATCGTCCCTGTAAAAAGAATCCTCAGCACTAGACTGCATTTCTGTAGCACTGCGCGACCGAGCGCTGCTTCATTAAGTCTGTATGTCGGTGGCAGCAGCACACCATGTGCATAGCACTCACTCATTCACCTTGCAGATGATCTGAACTGACCTGATCACTGATCATGTGATAGGGCGAATTCGAGTCGCTTTAGGTGCTCGCTAATTGCTCCTGACAGGGACTGCTGGCGGCCGCTGGCGGCGGCCGCGTAGAAGGTTCTGTGACGTCAGAGGGCAGAACGGACAGAGGTGTAATACCAAGGATTGCGGCTCGTTAAACGTTCCCCCTAAATTCTGCTGTTGACCTGGAATTTCACGATTAGACAGACGACGTAGTGCACGCTGATTGGACACTGCTAAAGCATGGTCATCCGATCAACAGGTTCAACCTCAATATTCAAACAAATATCAACCAAGGTTCTCAGGACAAGTGCCAGCTGCACTCATTTAGCAAAATGGCCTAACTCTCATCCATGTCACTGAAGCCTACCCATTCACGGCTAACGTGGTTCATGGAAACAGAGGGCTGAGGGGAGGATGGACCATATAACATGAAATCACCATCATGGGCAGGAGTAACCACATGTTAAGGAGGGAAACATAAGCCTTATGCTGTGCACATTGCAAGCTGAACATAAACCTTATGTTATGTGCCTTGCAAACTGAGCAGTCGGTTGAACAGAAAGTGATTATGCTCGTTGGGAGGAGAACAGACGGC